TTATTATAAATGATGAAACTTTTATCTTCCGTATTTGTTTTACTGATGAAGCAGTTTTTTATTTAAATAGTGAAGTAAACAAATATAATTGCCATTATTGAAGTAAAGAAAATAAGTATATTATGAGAACTGATAATACACAATATCCACAAAAAATTAATGTTTGGGCAGGAATAATAAATAACTTTATTATCAGTTTATTTTTTATTGAAAGAAATTTAAATGGACCTAAGTATTTGGAAATATTGCAGAATCTTATTATTCCAGAGTTGAATAATTTGTTTTCTAGAACCGAAATTATTTTCCAACAAGATGGAGCACCTGCTTATTTTAGCAAAGATGTTTATAAATATCTTAATAAAAAATTTTCAAATAGGTAGATAGGTCGAGAAGGACCTTATAAGTGGTCTCCTCATTCACCTGACCTTACACCACTTGATTTTTTTTTGTAGGGATACCTTAAAACTGAAGTTTTCAAAACACCTTCTAATAATATTGAAGAATTGAAGCAACGAATTATTAATGAATACCTCAGAACAATTAGCAAATATTAGACATATATTTTTTAATCATCTTAGATACTGTATTGAAGTTGATAGTCAACATTTTGAACAATTAATTTAATGTATACGTATCAGGTTAACAATAATTTGTACACTATTTTTTAAAATTAATGCTCATTATATACATATTGTATTGTATATACTTTAAAATTAAATGGGGGTAGTAAAAAAGGTCACTGTCCAGTTACTTTTCACCAACCTGGTATAACTTACTGGAGCAACCCAAGCATCACCTAATCTTTTTTTATCATTAAAATGCTTTTCAATGACTGGCTTAATTCGATTGATAATTATTTTTCTATGGTTTGAGATTGAATTCCAACCAAATCTTAAAGAAATTCTGTAGGCAATAATGAAATAAATGCATTTTAAGATTTCAAAGATTTTTTTTTTAAAAAAAAGAAATGTAAAGTAAAATAAAATAAACTTTATGTGATAAATTGTTTATGAAGCCAGGAATGTATAAAGCATAATATTGGTGGTATAAAAGCAATTTTTAAAATTGCAAATGTTAAGCTTTTAAAAGTTTTCAATAAATCCTCATGATTGTAACATTCCTAATTTTTTATTATAAGAGTATTAAATTAATAGCAAGAAATTTTATACTAAAAAATAATACATATTGATATACATACTTTACCAACAATAATGTTAGTAATTGGAATTGCAATAATATTTGCTACAGTTTTGGATAGGTTATGAATAATCTTTGTTTTTAATAATAAATAAAAATTTCTTTTAATTTCACATAAAAAATTTATAAGTTAAAAGTATATTCTATCCATTATCCATCAATATATCCAGATCTGAATTTATTTCAGATATTCGTTTTATATCTGTTTACTATCGCCATTGATATTCGGATAATTATCTGAATATTTGAGCGATTTGAATTCTCCAGAAATTAGATACGGATAAATGGATAACAGATTTATCCAGATTGGAACTCTAGCACTAGTAAAAGCTTAAAAACTTACTAACACATTCACCAATATGAAGTTCTATAGCTTTAACAATGTTTTTTTGTAATCTACTCATAAGATATTTTAATTTTTCTATGGCAAATTCTTCTATTATTTTACTATTTTTGGCAAAATCAGGAATATTACTTAATATGTAATTTAGTGGGAGTCACTGTTTTTAAAATTGAAAGAATGATTTAAAATACTGTATATGGTTATATAATATCTGAAGAAATATTGCATTCTCTAAATGTTTTTCAATTACCGTTTTTGCACCTTTTCTAAAACAAAATTTTTGATCTTTTTTTAATACTTCATAGGTTGTCTCTTTTCTGACTATGGTTATTACTTGACCGAATATATATAATAAAAATGTCTTTCTATACTATTATTAAGAAATTATAAATTATTAGAACATGAAAAGAAATCTTCATTTTTATGTAATTATTAATTAATTTTTTTTTAAAAAAAGAATAAAAAACCTTTTCTCGAGTTTCTAAAATAAACTTTTTGCAATCTATTAGATACTTTCAAGTATGTCCAATAATTGGAATTCAATAATAAGTGAGAGGCGGTTCATTCTAAGAAGGTTTACCATTAAAAACATAATTACGAATAAATACTTATGTAGAAAAAAAGCTTACTAGTCTAGTTCGTCTTGATAGTTTGAAATAAACTATAGCTAAAATTAATCTAATAATAAGTAATTGAATATATATGTTTTCTAATAACATTTTTTCGAGATTTTTTTTTTTCTGAATCTTATCATGTGCTAACTTGGAGGATTAATAAAGGTTTTTCTATGCCTACTATGGGCGGTGTTATTATAGGACAGCAATTACTCAATAGTTTTCTAACTTATTTGAGCATTATATATTTTATGAAAATTTTAATTACAAGTGTTTAGATGTTTAAGTTCTGCATGTCAAAAACAAATAACACTAGCTACTTTATATTTCAGAACAATTTAGAAAAATGTCATGATGTCATAAGCCATGACATGTTTATTAGAATCTTTTTATTTAACATAATTAATTCTAAACTAACAAACACTTTCCCCAAGAAGTGTTGGTGCCAATATTCATTTAGGTTACAGTATATAATGGAAATCCAGGCTAAAAAAAAAAACTCCTTTATATAGCTTTTTATTATTAACTTGTTATGCCATTATAAATGACAATTTGTCCATTAACCAGTCTACAGTATAGTATAGATAACCAGATTCATATTGTATAGAAGTGTAAAATGCCATATCAAATATCCGATGTTGTATATTAGAGAGTTAGTGTATTGTTTTAAAATAGGCATTTTACAACCCTATACTATACAATTCAGGTTATCCATCTCTAAAGTGTGAAAACACATGGGATAC